TTCTCGCAGAGTTTGGGATATCAATAATCAGCAATCATTCATTTCAGAAAGTGTACACAAGCAAGCATGTCTTGACTCTGTCTTTCAAGGTCACGCGCGGTTGCGTGATGTTGATGCATGAAAACGGCGTTTGCTGCGAAAGTTATGAATGGCCCACTCCAATTTTTTCACAGATGGTTAGGAACGTTGTGACGGACATAATATGTAAAAATTACGCAAATCGAAGGTGACGTGTTTTTTGCTATTTAAATTTTTCTGTTTTAATTCAAGGTCCAATGCTTTTCAAGGTCACTTCAATTTAATTTTGTAATTAAAAATCAAAGCCTTATCAATTGCCTATAAGACCCTGTTAATATCATTTTGATACCAGAAAGGGAACCAGAGTTACAGCCATTTAAAAAATTGATGTGTGGCATTTTTCGCTATATTCGATGACCTATATCTCAGCGATACGTTATCAAATTTCGAAAATATTATACGTAACTCAGTTTTGAACCATGCCCAGTCTGCCTACAAATTTTTAGAAAAATCGAAGGGGATGACGGATTTCGGTGTTTGATTTGACGTGGAATGCCCCGAATGCGTTGGTACCACTACCATGGCTCTAGGACCATTTTTGTTGAAGTTATTTGCGAAAAAAAACTGACACCGCGGCTCGGGGTCGTTGACGACCTGACCTCTAACCTCAGGTCATCAAAACTATTTTTTCCATTTTTCCTAAGTTTAACGCTACACAACCGTGCCTATAATTTGTCTTTTACCCTTCTAACAAAGTAAAGACAGACCCCACTGATGGGGTCGGCAGACCCCCGAGCATATGGGGTCAGCAGACCCCATCAGGGCACGGGTTAATGCGTTTAGAAGTTATTGGCGAAAGATGGGGGGGGGGGGGTGCAGATTCTGCCTCCTCAGCCCTATTCCGGGCGGGCTCTGAAAGGTTCGATTCTGGGCGGAGGGGGGCCTTTTCAGCCCCCCCCCTCAGATCTAAAAAAAACTACACATCGCAGCGACAAACGGCAAACGGCGTTTGATAGGTCGTTTGAAGATCTACAACTTTTACATAAAACATTTTTAGGTCAGGTCAATATTGAGGTCACCAGAGGTCATCAACGATAAAATGTTTTGGAATTAGTTACCTACATAACTTTAAAATTAAGAATCATAGAGACATAAAATTAATACATTTTTGTTGCTCTCGTCGAGGCGATGCGAAATAAGTATGCGATGACCTTCACAGGTCAATTTGAAATTTGACCCGAGGTCAAGGTCAGGTCATTCATCAATGAAGTTGTGGGGTATGGTCATGCTGCATACCAAACGACGCGCCTTGACCAGGCGAGCAGTTTTGTACCACTTACAAGTCTTTATCACCATCATGTCGTGATTTATTGACAGAAAAACGATTTATGACGTCACATGACCTCAGATGACCTTTCCCGGTGCCCCTGTCAATTAGCGGCACCAGGATCATCACCGATGAGATAATCTACCATAATAATGAAAGAATGGTGTGGTTTCGACTCGTTTACAAGAAGCAGGAGGCGTTTCAATATTTTCCCATACGCTTGCAATGTAAAGGTCACGAGTCTGGCCTGACCTCAGGTCACAGATATAAAAATTCTGCGATACCTATACAAATTGCACATACTGGTACCCTAACTAGTCTAAAACCTGAAGAGAAGAAATTGATCTGTCAAAAACTCTAGCTCTGGCGTGATTGCAAACTTTTCTGAGGTGGGGTCACCAAACCGCCTCTGGTGACCTGACCTGACCTGACCCGGCAACTTTTTTTGTCAAAATGTGCGCAATGAATGTTTAGGAAAAGTCACCGAGTATGAGCTTTCAGTCTTGCGGCGTTTGGCAATGGCACAAGAAAAACCTGAAGGGGGGCCTTGAAGGCCCCCCCCCCCCCCGCCCGGAATAGGGTTAGCGGGGAGTGGGATAACGAGCAGGAGTAAGTAGTTAAGTCTTCAGTGTGTCTCACTGAAAGAGAATGAGTGCACCGCTGCCGTCAATCGTCATGGCACCGGTTGCACTGAGGGACATTCGGCATTGTGAGCAGATGCGCCAGGCCCATTCATGAATACCTGCCGGCAGTGCAGCGTTCGGTAGAGATCAGCGTATGCAGCCGGCGTCCTTGGGACTCCGGCTGCCACCGGCACTGTGCACTGTGCATGGTAACACCCGACTCGGCGGATATATATGAACGATTCGACACCCGGAGTGGACCCCCCAATGGTCGGCAAGGGTGTGGCATGCCATGCCCATCCTCTTTTATATTAGAACACACAGTACACACTGGGGCAGTCGATGAACCGTCCAGGACTGCAGGCGAGGGCCCTCTCTGCACCCTGTGAGGCCACTGATTTCATATTACATAGGTAAAGGTTCACAACCTTCAACACATGAACCAAATCCTCTTCAGTGAATAGGAAGGTAATGTATTTCATAAAATTGGACCGGTGTCATTGCCCAGAATCTTAGGCTGCGGTAAGAAGCAATGGTGCAAGAAATCACTCAACACTGTGGACAGTGAGGGGTACCAATAATGGCTCTAACGTTCTTTTTTATTCTAACAACGAAGACAGACGCCAGCGACTCTGCGGAATATTTCCGTCACTCGGTTCAGCTACATCGCCTCAGACGCGAGGCCCCTGCAGCCGCTCCCTGCTGGTCCCTGGGGCCCGTCTACGAGTAGAGATGGTGTCTCCTCACATAGCTGCATGGTGACTAGATGGCGTCGACTGTTAGCACTACGAAGAACACGGCCGGACAGCGACGGTCGGGGGGGGGGGGCGAACCGGTCTCCGGAATACGCTCAGGACTTGTACGACGCGGCGCTACGTTTGGTTATACGGATCAGCAGAGATCTGCACGCCCCTCCAGCACGCGCTGACGGCGTGTCGAGGCCACTCGGTTGCTGCACGAGCGAAGCTGCTCAGTGCTGAGCGAGCTGACTGGTCTCTCACTGACAGCCTCACTTAGGTTTACTTGAATTATATATGTTACAGGCAATGTGTGGAATCAGGCATTCTATAGAATGCCTAGGCATTCTATAGAATGCCTGACCGACCAGGCATTCTATAGAATCCCTAGGTATTCTATAGAATGCCTGACCCACCAGGGATTCTATAGAATGCCTAGGCATTCTAAAGAATGCCTGATTTTCAGGCATTCTATAGAATGCCTAGGAAATACACGAATCTTTCCAACATATAAGTGTATGTTGTATAAGATTATGAGCACAGACCGACATGTAACATTATTATTTTCTGCCAGGCTACCTTGCGTTCAGCTATTTATGTTCATTCAGTCAAATGTTCATTCAGTCAAATTTTCCGGTCAGGTATTCAATCTGACCTTATTAGGTCAAATTGTATCAGGATTTCATTCTGAGAGTACAGAGTATTTATCTTAACGCTAGAAAGACGATGGTGGTAATGTCAATATCGGAAACGCCTTTGGTTAAAAAAAAAAAAAAAAATACACAGAAAAAATTGACAACTCGTCCATTTTTGGAGGTGTTTGCCTTCTAAGGAATTGATTTAAGGTCAAACTGGAGAAAACGGCTACGAGCCAAAAATGGACAAAAATTGGGCTGACCTAAAAAATGGCTTAGCTATTTGTTTTAGAAATGGCACCCTTTCGAACATTGCCAAAGAAGAACTGAAGTAAAATTTCATAATTTTGAGTCTTTGACGACCTTTCGAATACATGGCCCAGAAGTCAAGCTGGAAGGGGAGATAAAACAACACCTAATCCGGCTCTTGTTACGGCCGGGCCACCGCCCAGACGTGGAATAATGAACCATTTATTCAGGTTATTCCCTGACATTACGGTGTAGGTTGAGCTGTCCATGTATGTATATTGAGAGTCGTTACACGAAGTGCTTATGACGACATAAAATGTGACCTTTGGTGTATTTTTCACCTTCATTTCTAACATCAGAACAAAGCCATCGTCATTCGCAATCACTTTCGATTCAAGCCTACGGTCCACCCTCCCAGCCAACACTCTTCTAATGCAGCTTCGTATCTGTAGCAGCATAATCCTCCGAGGGTAACCGTTTAAGCGACTGGTTGGCCTGTGACTCTCCCGCGTGCCTTGCGCCGTGGCTCTCCCGTGCCAACGGAATTGGATCAGCTGCTGCTTGCGGCGCACCATTTGGTGGTCGGCATAGCCCAATACCTCCCTCGCTTCCTCTCAGCTCATTGCCCTGAAATGGTGTGAGGTGACGACCGGCCTAGGCCAACAATGAAAATTAGGTAAACAAATAGCATTACTGCCACTGACCCCTAATTTTCGAAGTGTGTTTCGGACAATCAAAATACTTAGGCATTCTATAGAATGCCTGGGAGCTTAAGCCAGGCATTCTATAGAATGCCTAAGCAGTCAGGGATTCTATAGAATACCTAGGGATTCTATAGAATGCCTGGTCGGTCAGGCATTCTATAGAATGCCTAGGCATTCTATAGAATGCCTGATTCCACACATTGCCTGTAACATATATACTTAGGTTATATTTATGGTTTCTTCCGATCCTCGGCGTTACCTGCGTAGTGTATCATAGCATGTGTCTTAGATGACGCGTTGACGACAGTGGTTCCGCCACCAATGACCAGGGCGTGGTGGATGCCTGGACCCCCCCCCCCCCAAAAAAAAAGAAAATCGTTATCGTATGGCAGTAAAGGGTGTGCATTTTTGGGTCACCCCCGCCAATCCCAAAACCGTGGTGGAGCCCTGGCGGACGGTGCAATAGAGATATAAACATTTTTAATTCCCGGCAAAAAGAAGACACTGAGTTATGTGCTCAATGACACTCCCTTTGCACACTGCACAGGCGCCCTAATTTTGGGCGAAACACTGACGGCCCCAGTCCCGGCCTGCCCGTTTCTGGGACCGCAGGGCACGCTGGGAAGACGCCAGTCCTGGCGGCGCTGCTGGGTGGCCCGATCCTCGCCTCTGTCCCAGTCTGCGGGCCATGTGTGACCTCCCGGCTCGACCCGCCCGTGTGTGTAGTGAATTCGGCCTTGGTGCTGACAGGGACGCCCGTCAGGTTAGCGTCTCTGGTGACTGGGCAGACTTCTGTCGGCGGCACTGCTGGTCCTGCCCCGGGGTGGCAGCGGCGGTCGGTGAGAGGCCACCTCCCCGGCTCCGTCCCGCCGCCCCAGCCGCCTCGCACTGGCAGTCCGCCCAGTGACGTGGCTACTGGCTAGGAGCTTAAGCCAAAAATAATGCGTCTCCTCTTTGACTGCACCGCTTGTGTCAGCCGCAAAGGTCAGTCAGTCCCACATTCGTCTCCAGCACCCTCGTTACGTCACTGCTCCCCCAAGGAGCGTTCCTGAGCGCGCCTCTGCCGGCCCGCATTACTCGCTGCTCCTCGTGGGGAAGCCGGCCGGGTGGAGCGGGGCGGCAGGCGCGAGCCGCACCCCGCCGCCGCTGCCGGCAGGGCCCCTCGGTTGGAATATCACCAGCAGGGACCTGGCAACCGGCCAGCCGCCAATCGATGGGCCGCTCGGCTGTGACGTCACCGCCGCTGGACCAATGGCGGCGGCGCTCTTGCTGGGGCGGCGGGCCGGTTTTCGCAGCGCCGGCCGCCGCCCCCCACTCCCCGACTGCTGCGGCGCGAGAGCGGCCGTCGCAGTGCAGAACCCGGCGCCGCAGGAACCACCGCAGCGCCGCACAGACAGGAGTGAAACAGACAACCACCAGTCCCGCGCCACCGGCGGGAATCGACCGCAACCATGGACGTGAGTTGGCCGGGCGCGCGAGCCGCGCGGAGCACCGGAGACTGCATGCGGGGTCGCCTGAGCCGGGATTCAGTTTCAGTAGCTCGGGGACAAACAAGGGTGACTCGGGAGTAGGGGGAATACCCTGGAGTAACCTTAGGGACATGGAAATTCCCGTAGTTTTGTGTGGGATGAGAGGGGTGCGCTGTGCGCTTGGGTAAATTAGGACTTCACTGGTTCTCGTGACCAGTGAATTCGAACCCCACTGGGACGTTGGGACCTTGGGTCCAACGAGTGTGGTCTGGGCGAACAGGAAAAATCCGGACTGGGACAGGAAAGATTTCCACCAGTGACGAGATAAACCGCTTATGGAGGTTCGTAGCCGTGATCCATACCAATACCTGGAGTAATTGCGACTGCAAATTGCACCTCTGGAATGTGACTGCCAATTGCAGTTTTTCCTGCCGACTATCGCCTCGGGCCCGGCCAAGCCTGTTCAAATGAGATGCATCGTGAATTAAGATTCACATTTGGCAAAGCCCGGTTACACCGAGTATTGCGCGAGTCGGTAGGATTGTGGGATCTCTTCACCTGACAAATCTCCTGAGCGAGTTACGCGTCACGTCCGGCCGTGTCACGCGTCTGTTCAGTGGCGGCTGGCGGCCATCCAAACCGTGATTCAGTCGGTTCTCTGCGTAGACATTTTTAACCTGCATGACCCGACCCTGGAGACTGGAGTGGAAAATGATGCTGGCTTGAAGCAGAGATAGAGTTCGGCTTGAAATTAAATCAATAATGTATGAAGAACTTTAAGGGCTTCGCAAGTTAGAGTGGAATCGAGCGTCAATACTCGATATGACCCCCCGCAGAGGCTATTTCCGTATATAAAGCGGCCGGCGACGCGATGGGCGGCTCCTGCGCCGAGACCGCAGAGGGGGCGTTTCCAGGCCGGCAGACGGGGAGGGGCGGGGTGGCGCCGCTGTCGGCCGGGGGGGGGGGGGGGGTCGGCGCGTCGACACGGTCGATGGGCCCGCGGCGGGCGCCGGTGACGTCACGCGCTCGATACCCTGGCAGGTGGCGGTCGGTCGGCCGGGGCTCGGCGCCGGCGCTGACCCCGCCCCCTCCCCCCTCCCCCTCCCCCGACCGACGAACCCTGCAGTGGGACCGATCGACCCGGTCCCGGACCAGCCAGAGTTCGGTTCGATTCCCGGAGACCGTTACAGCAGCATAAACTGTAAAATCTAGGGCGCGGCTGGTTTCGCAAGCGGGATGGAGAGGTATAAACAATATGAAGTCTGGAGATCTGGGCTAACGGGACAGGGGACAGCGTGACCGATTCTGGGAATAGGAACTGAAGCATGGTTTGCTGGGGATAGTCGCAATCGAGTGACCACTAGAAATGCATGATTGACTAACATTCGAAGTCGGTTTGTATGACGATGCTGTTTTTATTGCGCTCGAGAATCCCAATCGTGTCAACTAAATGTCGTCTTACTGTAAACGACGCATAGAAGACCGGTTTATCTTCGTTTCATCTTCATTTTATAGCGAAAAATACGTTTTTAGGCGTATTAAAGCCAGTTGAGGTCAGCAAGGAGCGTCGTGTAGGTCTCCCTGACTGGCTTCGTCATACCGGGAGTCGTATGCGTCGTCCCATGTGGTGCCTTCTAGGCACAGGTGGTGCTTTGGCACAATACACACGATCGGCCGCCGCTCGCTTGCGGATCGAACACCAATTTGCTACCACAGGTGTAAGCGAGCCAAGCGCACCATAACATCATTCGTGTTGTAATTGGAGCCATATGCGGGGCTAGAACAAAACACGGTGTGGTAAAGTGTGAAGGTCACCTTCCCGAGGTGATTTAGGCTAAAGACGCTGCTGTCATGGCACAGGCAGTGACTTCAGAAGTCTCGCCTGATAAAAGTGACGAACGATGTATTAGTTCCTCGTGACGTGAAGCAGAGTTTATTGGTGTGTTATAAAAATAAATGCTGAAATTGTAAGGGTTGACGTAGTTACTTATGTCATTCGAGTTTTTTCTTCTTCTTCTTTGACCTGTAATCATGGAAGCCCTAGCAAGAATGTGATGGCGTGTGTCTCTGATGTGGAGCTGGATTCGCTCATGCTGAGTGAAGGTGAAAAACGTCACATGAAGTTTTTTCAGCATTTCTCACAGTGGCATTCAGCTAGCGACTCCTGAGGTCTTTTACGTTTTGGAAGTTCTACCGTTACAGTCCGATGGGGAAGATAGCTTCCTTAGGGACACGCAAAGCCGGTATTTTCTAGCTAACACCGTCCGTGCCAGGCCACGCGAAGCGCTAGGAGCCGATCTATAAGTCGTGTGCTGTTTCGGATTTCGTATCATGCAAACGTTCCATACCAAGTGCGAGGAGGCTGTTCGTGAAATGATCACTTATAAAAAATATGGCCACTAGTTATTTCGATGATGCTAGTGTATACTTTTATGAAAGCGTTACTCTGCAGGAAAGTAGGAACCAAATAGAGCACAGGTATTGTACTATTGTAAGGTCTGTGCAAAATAGATCGTTATACCAAGAAAGGGCAAATATGTGAGGGTGAAAGACTAGTCATGTAGAACTCACTAGTTTTGGAGTTTTACAGCAGATGCATAGAGCACGTTCGGGTTTGATTACCGCCCTAACCCCGCCCTTGAATTCTAACCCGACCCCTATCGAACCCCGATGAGGGCCAGCACGGTAGGTGGGTTATTTACCGCTCCCTGCCCGCCCGCTGTGCCCACTAGCGTTTGATGCCTGTGTTCGACTAGCGTTTGGTGCCTGTTTGGTTTCAACTTACGCAGCTGAAGCTGGAGGACACGGTGCGGTGACCTGAGGTCACGACCTGTGTGGTCATATGACCTCGGTCAGTGCCGTGTGCTGCCAGCTGTCAGCACGTGCCCCGCTCAGAGGGGTGACGAGGCGTCGGTGGACCGCCGATCGCGCGAGCTCGGAACGCATAGTCGTGCTTTGGAAACGGGTCGCACACGGTTCATTCAGCCAAGTCTCGGTGCTCCAACGATGCATTTTAAAATTTTATTTCAATCCGCTTGCGTCGTGATGCAGCCGAGACTGCAGCCTGAACCCGTGCGCGCCGTTTCGTGGCACGTCTCTCGGTCCGGATCCGCGGTACGGCCGTGCCGCCGGCGCCGCTCGGTCCCGTGCCCGTAGTGCTTTGTGACGCGCCTGCCTGCAGTGCATGGTGACCGGCTGCGAGGGCCCGGCGCGCATGTGACCCGGTGCCCGACCGTTTGTTTTCAGTACGGCCGACCCGACTCGTACCGTGCCGCCACCACGCCCGCTGTGGCCGACGATAATATCACTGCTCACGGACAGCTCAAGGTAGGACGGACATCCCAACAGTCGCACACTCCGGCCTCTCTCTTTCGCCTGCTCTTGGTTGACGGTCTACTCTCCCTCTCTCTCTCTCTCTCTGCCTCTCGTCTCTCGACCTGTGCGGGTCTTTACCATCTTTCGGCTCCATCTCTCCAGGTTCGTCTGTTTCTCGTTCTCGGACGTTTCACGATCTCTTTCGGCTGCTAGGCCGAAGTTTTTGGTGTGCCGTCATCCACGGTGCAGCTTCACTTTTGTTCTCGGCGGGCTATCAGGTGATGGTGCTTCCAAGTTGCACGCTGCAGATTCGGGTGAAGTTTTCCACTGCTTAGGTCTTCAACACGTTCTTGGTTTCCGACTTCCCATGCGTCCTCTAAACATGCCTTTCCCACTTCTGAACAGCTCATTGGACAGTGCAATGAACGACCTGAAAGGCTTCGTACATTATTCTACTTATTTTTTAATCAAAATGTATTGATGTACTAAAGTTATGCCCTTTGATTAGCATTTTATAAACCGCTGATTATGGAACGCTCTTACGTAGTCAATGGACTCCTAAAAATGTGAATGAAAAATAAACTGCTGATCCAGGAGTGGGGTCACCTAAACCAGTCTACGTACGCCCATCGTTTTCCACCGTTTATTTACTTACTATAAACATACAGCGTTACTCCTGGCCTGTTCATGTTCAACTCAAATACATATATAGTTGCAGTTCTACCTAGTATTGGCTTACTGATGAAGCACACCCATATTTTACATCTCTTGCTATTTTCTTGCCGCCTTGCCATTGGTTCTTTTCTAAATTCGCCCACTCATGATTTTGTCCTGTTTGCTCTAAGTGTTTATTTTCCTGTCCCTGTCCTCTCGTCCGACCATCTCGTGCGTCCATCTCCCAGCGCCCCGCGAGTGCTTTCACTAGCCACCGACCTCGAGGCGCAGGCACCGCCGTTACCAAATCTCGCTTTCGCCCCCCAGTCAGCGTACCTCTCACGCACACTGCTGGACAGGGCACCATCCATGGCCCTTCGGGGGGGGGGGGGGGAGAGGCGCCGCCTGGTGACCTAGTTTCGGCGTCCCGTCGTCCCCGGCCCCTGGTCCCGACCCGCCGCCATCCCGGGCTCCCTGTGGCCCCGTCCCGTGTCCTTGGCTTCCTCGGTGAGCTCAATGTTGGCCCCCGGCACTGGCCGCCCGGCCGGGCTGGTCACAGCCGAGAGCACGGTAGGTGGCTACAGGTAAGGCTGCCCATCACGGCATACTACTCTCTTTCGTCATCGCCCTCGCATGTTCATCGTGAATAACTTAGTTATGCTTTTGTGCTGCATTGTTTTGCTAAAGTTGTAGCTTTTCGTACCACTTTTAAAAGCGAATAAAACAATTAGACTCACCGATGATTTTCCCTGAAAATATTTTCCTACTGATCGAAACTCTAAAACTTCAATACCTTCTCATTTACAAAAAAAAAAACACTATCAGCTGCGAATCCTTACTTTTGAAGCTACAGTATCAGGCTTGACAGCGACCCGTTGTTGGTTTCAGTCCAAACGCCAGAAGCAGGATGCCCGCAAGAACAAGAAGCACAAGAAGGGAGGAACCACCGTGGACGACCTGAAACAGGAGCTGGTCCTCGATGAGCATCAGATCACCATCGAGGAGCTGCAGCAGCGCCTCGGAACCAGCATCACCGCGGTGGGTATCCCAATAGCTCGACCGGTACTCTGTAAAAAGGCTACCTACCAGTCACAAAAAGTCAAGATGTAAGTAAGCCCTTTAGTTGCTTGGTAACGTGGATATGCCCAAAGTTGTGCAGTAATATAATTTCCACGGCTCTGCGCGGTCACGAGATCGAGGATGCTTATTCGCCTCATGACGTGGTCGACGACGCTGCGATCCGCAGGGTCTGACCGAGGCTCGTGCCAAGGAGAATCTGGACCGGTACGGTCCGAACGCGCTGACGCCGCCCAAGAAGATCCCCGAGTGGGTCAAGTTCTGCAAGAACCTGTTCTACGGCTTCTCCCTGCTGCTGTGGATCGGTGCCATCCTCTGCTTCGTCGCCTACTCGATTCAGGCGGGAACATTCGAGGAACCTCCAGATGATAACGTGAGTGACGGGTCTGAAGCTTTGGAAAGGACTATGGGCTTCTTCGCATTGTGGTAAAGTAAGTGCGCTTATTGGCAGGATAAGCTTCTCATGAAAACTGGTCTTCTGATATCCACGTCTGTTTAACCAGATGCTGAAACGTAAAACTTTACTACTAAAGTTAGTCGAGGTGTATCAATGTACGACATTTCGGACTCACGTTTGACCGTTTGGCGTTTCTTCCACAGTTGTACCTGGGTATTGTGTTGTCCGCTGTCGTCATCATCACTGGCTGCTTCTCCTACTACCAAGAATCCAAGAGCTCCCGGATCATGGAGTCGTTCAAGAACATGGTGCCGCAGGTATGTATGTAACGAAAATGGAGTAGGTGACATGAGATCATTAGCTTGTGTAAGTGCCACCTACCTTCATGTGCTACTATCGGCTGGTGTGAACAGATTTTGTATACAGGAACGTGCTCGGGACGAGGCCGTGATCGTTGGCGGATACCCATTTGTACCGCCTCTTTATGCGGAATTTGATATTTATTTATGAATACAGTTGTTTTTTTTTTCGTGCACATTGGGACATTTTCACACCGAAGTTCCTGGAGATACGCTTCCTTGCCGTCCACTGGCTCCGTGTCCAAAGGTCTGATGTTGGACGTGCTTTGACCCTCCCCACAGTACGCTCTGGTCATCCGTGACGGAAGCAAGGCGACCGTGCGCGCTGAGGAGCTCACCCTGGGAGACCTGGTGGAGATCAAGTTCGGAGACCGAATTCCGGCTGACGTGCGAATTATCGAGGCCCGCAACATGAAGGTGGACAACTCCTCTCTGACTGGAGAGTCCGAGCCCCAGAGCCGCAGCCCCGAGTACACTGCCGAGAACCCGCTGGAGACCAAGAACCTGGCATTCTTCTCCACCAACGCCGTCGAAGGTGAGATGAGATCTGAGATGGCAATGGAAATGTTCTACGCTCTTTGTGGATTGCTCTGTGATGAGTGAGAACAAATGCGTTAGGCGCAAGTCATTGCAGAGCCTGTAGTGGTCACTGTTATACTCTAAATTATTATTTTTTTAAATTATATTACACAGTAGATAAGCCGTTCGTAGATCTTGTGCCTCACAATTCGATTTTTTTACATTACACTCAAAATCTCTGAAGCCATCTTCAGGACTCTTGGTTCAAGGTAGCTGACGCTAATACCTTACCTCCAGGAACCTGCAAGGGAGTCGTCATCAACATCGGTGACAACACTGTGATGGGTCGTATTGCCGGCCTCACGTCCAGCATTGACTCCGGCTCGACCCCCATCGCCCGTGAGATCGAGCACTTCATCCACATCATCACTGGCGTGGCCGTCTTCCTCGGAGTGACTTTCTTCGTCATTGCTCTCATCCTGGGCTACAACTGGCTGGACGCTGTCATCTTCCTCATCGGTGCGTTGTTGTGGATTTTGGAGAGATACTCATGCTTATGCTAAGATATCTGCTCTGGCGTCTAACGTCTTCATTGGCTCGTTTGTGTCTTGTCGCAGAAATGTGAATTTTGATGGACGATTTTAATGTAATTATAAAAGTCTGGCTCACTATGGTTATGCAAGCAAAGATGCTGCTGTGTAGCGAAGAAATCGAAACAAATACGAATACCGTCTTCACTAATATTTGCTCTACATGACCCCTTACGCTTCCCAGGTATCATTGTGGCTAACGTGCCCGAGGGTCTGCTGGCCACTGTCACTGTGTGCCTCACCTTGACTGCCAAGCGGATGGCCTCCAAGAACTGCCTGGTCAAGAACCTCGAGGCCGTCGAGACCCTGGGCTCCACCTCGACCATTTGCTCGGACAAGACCGGCACACTGACCCAGAACCGGATGACCGTCGCCCACATGTGGTACGACAACCAGATCATGGAGGCTGACACCACCGAGGACCAGTCGGGCGCCTCGTACGACCGCACCACTGAGGGCTGGAAGGCGCTGTCGCGCGTGGCTGCTCTCTGCAACCGTGCCGAGTTCAAGGTGGGCCAGGAGAGCATGCCCGTCCTGAAGCGTGATGTCAACGGTGACGCCTCTGAGGCTGCCCTGCTCAAGTGCTGCGAGCTGGCCATGGGCAATGTCATGGGCTACCGCGACAAGTACAAGAAGGTCTGCGAGATTCCGTTCAACTCAACCAACAAGTTCCAGGTAGGTGGTTCATAGTTCTGTTCAAGTGATGCACATACTTCGGTTAACATGTTTTGATTAAATTCATTGAATGTTTTCTCTTTGGTCTTAACAAAATATGTGTGTAATCATTAAAAATATTCAAAACAATGTTAACTGTATTTCACATTACGTTTCCGATACTGACGATCCCTCACTCACTGCTGTGCAGGTCTCCATCCACGACATCCGCCACGAGAACCCCAAGAACCCCAACCTGCTGGTGATGAAAGGAGCTCCGGAGCGCATCCTGGACCGCTGCTCCACCATCCTGATCAACGGCCAGGACAAGCCCCTGGACCAGGAGATGAAGGACGCCTTCAACAACGCCTACCTGGAGCTCGGAGGACTCGGAGAGCGTGTGCTTGGTTAGTTTCGATGCTATTCATTTGCCTCGCTATTCATATTCACTCGTTCGGCTTGATGGAAAGAAGTCAACATTTGCTCCAATCAGCATGGGGAATGAAAGTACATGTTTGACAGCTCGCGGTAACCATGAGCCATCTATTCACTTGGCAACTGTTTAGAACATAATGATAATTGGACGTCTCTGCAGCAGTATTTAAAGTGCTCCGTATCTTACCCATCTTAAACTTTCTAGTACTTTAGGGTCGTCGTCATTTGTAGTGAAAATTCCCAGACCTGATGTTGTTTTTGTGTCTGTTGCAGGTTTCTGCGACTTCTCTCTGTCGGGCGACAAGTACCCGAGCGACTACCCCTTTGACAGCGACGAAGTCAACTTCCCGCTGCAGGACCTGCGCTTCGTCGGCCTCATGTCGATGATTGACCCGCCTCGTGCCGCCGTCCCGGACGCCGTCTCAAAGTGCCGCTCGGCCGGTATCAAGGTCATCATGGTCACTGGCGATCACCCCATCACCGCCAAGGCTATCGCCAAGAGCGTCGGCATCATCTCCGAGGGTGAGCCGCCTACTTTCCAAACTTTTCATCCACATGAGCCTTGTATGTTAGCTATTACATCGAAAGCTCAACCTTCTGAAATAAAGAAATAAAATGTTAATTTAACCTTGCCTATGAGCAATATACATTACAATGTATCCTCAAAGCTCGTCGTATGTTATTTTCTACATCACCAAACAACACATCATCCTGTGCTCCGGCAGGTAACGAGACCGTGGAGGACATCGCTCAGCGCCTGAACATCCCTGCGTCCGAGGTGAACCCGCGCGAGGCCAAGGCGGCCGTGGTGCACGGCTCCGAGCTGCGCGACATCAGCTCCGACGACCTGGACGACATCCTCACCCACCACACTGAGATCGTGTTCGCGCGTACCTCGCCCCAGCAGAAGCTCATCATTGTCGAAGGTTGCCAGCGTCAGGGAGCCATCGTCGCTGTGACCGGAGATGGTGTCAACGATTCGCCTGCCCTGAAGAAGGCCGATATTGGTCAGTTGATGCGGCATTCAGACGTGTTTTGGGGTCGGTGATTTTGTGGAGAGGCCGGTGTGATTCTAATAGCTGTTTTTGCTTAGGATTCTGCTACCGGTCAGGAAATACGTTGAACCTCACTCCATAATGAGGACCGCAGCCTGGCCTGTAGGTATCATGTTTCTTCACCAACAACCTGCCTGGGTTTCTTTGACAGGTGTTGCTATGGGTATCGCCGGATCGGACGTGTCCAAACAGGCTGCCGACATGATCCTGCTCGACGACAACTTCGCCTCCATCGTCACCGGTGTCGAAGAGGGCCGTCTGATCTTCGACAACCTGAAGAAGTCGATCGCCTACACCCTGACCTCCAACATCCCCGAGATCTCGCCGTTCCTGCTGTTCATCTTGCTGGACATCCCGCTGCCCCTCGGCACCGTCACCATTCTCTGCATCGATCTGGGAACTGACATGGTAAGTTGCGCCAAGGAATTCGCATTTTCCCACCTTTCTTCCTCTTCCTCGGCTCTGACTGGGTCTATGACTGCTTTGTGCTTAATCATATCGTTAACCGTGTTTTGTGATCGTTGTGAAATTCATGATCTACTCGGATGACTTGTGCGCGTGTGGTAGGTAGATGTGACGGTGGTTTTCAGTGTGTGCTTGACACAGGAATGACTGTGACGGCTATGCATGTGTGTTCGCTTCCGAACTAATACCATTTGTCCATCCTTCTGTAACTTTTTGATCATTAAAGAGGTCAAATATTATAGTTTTACTTTAATTCGCCTTTATTGACCTACTTCCTTTGTCCTTTTATGATCCAGAACTATGCAGGATACTTCAACATGCAATTATTTGGATATTTTTCATTTTTCCATCACATCGGCAGTATTTCCCCCCAACATCAAGTGATAATCTACAAAGCTCCTATAAAGCTCCTTACTTCTTCCTTGCTCGTGGTGTCCGTGGATGTCTGTAGTTGTTGCTGCATCGAGATCGTTGCCGCAGTGTGGTGATCACCGCTAGTACTTGGTCCGCCACGCATTGAGTGTCCGCCGATGACTAACCGCCTCTGACCGGTTGCATCCGGCTCTAACCGGCCACGAATGCCAAGTCGCGTGTGTGCCAGCTAGGACTGACAAGCGCCTGCCAGCATCGGCTGCGCTAGTCCGGTACATGTCGAAGCTGCTCTGTGTCTCAGTGTTCGCCCCGCCGACCTCTAACTGTCTGTACCGCCAGTAACACCGCTCCCCGGTCGCTCCCAGGTCCCGGCTATCTCGCTGGCCTATGAGAAGGCCGAATCCGATATTATGAAGCGCCGTCCCCGGGACCCCTTGCACGATAAACTTGTTAACGAAAGGTAACGCCCCACGCGGCGCGCTATGCGCTATGTGCTCTGTTAGCATGCTTGCCGCTATTTCGGCCCACCCTTTTTTAGGTCGGGACGCAGTTTTTGACGTCCCGGCTTCCACAGTTTTCTTCACATGTTGGCATGCCTTTTGCTTTGACGTCCGTCTACTATGGAAAGGTAAACGACACAATGTGGTGCCAATTATATGTAGGTTGTCTGAAGGCCAGGAAATCTTTTGAAGTTATTTGTTTTAAAGGCAAGGAACTCTTTTGAAGTCTACAAAATCGGGATGTCTGGCTAATATTTAAAACTATAGATTAGTTGTTTATCTTCAAGGGAAGACAAATTAAGGATCACATTTGCACCGTAATTTATAAATTGTCAGAAAAATATGCCTGGAGGGAGTGAGGGAGCCCCCGGGCAGTAGAACAGCATTCTTGCCCAGGCTAAGAGAAACGTACCTAATAGTCCACCGTCCTTTTCGTATCAGTAAAAAGAAACATTGGGGTATGCGACCTTTAGCAACATCACTGCTATCTGAGGCGGCACCTGCCGCTGGCACCGATTCGACAAAGCTTGGTGAGTATGTAGCTCAGTCTCACCCGGACTTCCCGCGCCCTAGGCTCCGTCAGCAGTCGCCACACCCACCCTGGTCGCCCAGCGCCTCTAGGAGACCTAGCTCTAGCCGCCAGGAGTGCTCCAGACACCCGCAGGTAGTCTGACCCTCACGTTTGTAGCACACTTTGGCAACGCGCGCCCGCGCGTGAGCCCTTTTTCGGCATGTGGTTGGCGCTCGCCGCCGGGCACCAGTTTTGAGTTGGCCGCTGTCTGTCTGCCTCTAGGTGCCCGCTATCTCGCTGGCTTACGAGAAGGCCGAGTCGGACATCATGAAGCGCCAGCCTCGTAACCCCCTCACCGACAAACTCGTCAACGAGAGGTAACTACGGAAGCCCGTGCAGCATTCTACCGGCGACAGGCCGGAGCTGACTAACCGACTAACGCTAGAGCTATTCATTGCAGACAGTGTTGTCTTATTGACGGCTATAAGCCATTGCAGATTGTGTTCTTGAATCATATGGTCCTAACCGCTAACTGACTAACTTACCTTTACGATTTAGTGTGCTGAAAATCGATAAAAATCGTTCCAGGAAAGGCAAGTTTTTTTTTTGTGTGTGTTCTGCCCTACTAACCCTAGGCAATTATCGCCACTGTATTATAACACTTAACAGCGAAAATAGTTTGATAGATATCTAGGATATCATTGCGTCCTGTGCATGCACCCAAACGTTGACTGCATGCCATTTATCACCACTGAAGCTTCTGTATAAGTTTCGTCTTCATCACCAAATTTCACTTTCCAATTTTTGCTGCATTAGGTACGTTACGGCTCAGGCCCGAGTGCTCAGCTCCTGGTACTAATGGATGCGATTCCAGAACATAAGTGATATCATACACACATTTTGGTATAACTTGACAATATCATCGTCTTCTTTGTCTTCCTGTCTCTATCATCTACGATTGGACTCCTGACTTCTTGTTTTAAATTTCTCTTCAAATTTCTTTTCTCCTTTTTATAATCTGCTCTGCTATTCAACTTACTGAGTAATATCATCACGGTATTTTTTAAACGAAAGTTCTTTCTCGCTTTGTGTGTATGTTGGTGCTGACGCCCTGGACCGTTTGGCAGGCTCATCTCGATCGCCTACGGTCAGATCGGTATGATCCAGGCGGCCGCCGGGTTCTTCAGCTACACGGTCATTATGGCTGAGAACGGCTTCCTGCCCTGGAACCTGTCCGGCCTCAGGAAGTCCTGGGACTCCAAGGCCGTCAACGATCTCAAGGATTCGTACGGCCAGGAATGGGTGAGTTACACTGCGGGGAAATGAAGCGGGCTTATTGCTTTTCTGCACCGGCCTTCATTTTTTTAGTGTTATCATGATTTGATAAGCATTTTGATGGGAAAGTATTTGCATATCTTCAAGTCGTGAACTATACCTTATCGCTCATTTCTCGAGCCTATCCTGCACTGTATATACTGTGCGTCATGCCGGTGTAGGTATGTAATTTACTGGCAAGTGGCAAGCCTTCAAAGCTCAAGCTAGCCCATGTTGACTTGTCGATGTTGAAGTCGTCTTGACCACTATAACCCGTTCTGACCTGTGCCTCGACCTCCGCTCCGCCCGACAGACGTACGCCGATCGTAAGGTGCTGGAGTACACCTGCCACACCTCGTTCTTCGTGGCGATCGTGATCGTGCAGTGGGCCGATTTGATCATCTGTAAGACGCGCCGCAACTCGATCGTCCAGCAGGGCATGACCAACTGGGCGCTCAACTTTGGTCTCGTATTCGAGACGTGCCTGGCGGCGTTCCTATCGTACACACCGGGCATGGACAAGGGTCTCCGGATGTACCCGCTCAGGTCAGTGCTGGGGAACTGTCATGACCGATGGGGTGGAAGGGGTAGGGTGGGAAAGATCACCAAAAAACACGAGAGAGAGGTCGCACTTTGCGTCAACGTCCTCGGTCACTGGTCCTGGATGTTATCAAGTGAAGTTGGCACGCGTAAAGAGGCAGAAATGTTTTTAATGTTGTATAATCGTTTTACCATTGCCATCGGCATTCAGAAAGTCTCACCACCGAATCTAATTGAATGTGCTGATGCAACGTTCATGCCTTGATGTGACTTTTCATGGAATAAGTTTCAGTCCTCATCCTGTTCCTCGTCACTGGAAGACGCCTCACACGTATCGCGGGACCCCATCCTGCTTCCCGGTTCTGCTGCTACCGCACGCTTGCGGACAGCCAAGTCCTGGTGTGCTTGCGTGGACAGAAGGTTGGTTAACCACCACAATCTCCGGTTTAAATGTGCGACCTTCATAAATGTATCTTTATGCTTCGAGAAGTGTTTTTTTCTTCCTTACATTCACTCCTGAATCATTTCCATTTGCTGCCGTTATTGAAAACATGCGTGAGGCACGGTTTTACTCCGTTGATATCACACTCCTGGATTATTCCTACTCCTCGAATCTATCTCCCTCATTCCAATCATTTCAATTTGTAACGTCGTCTCCGTCATCTTCCACAGGTTCGTCTGGTGGCTGCCGCCTATTCCGTTCTCCATCCTCATCTTCATCTACGACGAGTGTCGGCGATTCGTGCTACGTCGGAACCCGGGCGGCTGGGTCGAGAACGAAACCTACTACTAAGCGGCGCGTGTCGCGCGCTGCTCGTAGTGTGTCCCTGGCCGTCCCAGCGGCCGGGACCCTAGCTCGTTCGTTCCATAGTGATGTTGGCCATTGTCGCTGGCCGGTCGGGCCGCGGGGAGGGAGGCCCGCCAGCGCTCGGCGCCGGTGCCTCGGTGCAATAGCGGCGCTGTGCGGCGTCGGGGGGCAGCTCGGCGGCAGCTGAACCCCGTTTTACTCCTGATGTGTTTTATGTTGTCACCAAATACATGCGAGTTTTGCTCCCACGTGTGGCGTGAGGCGGCGGAGCGGTAATCCGAGGCAATAACACCGCAAAAGACAAAGACTGAGGACAGTTTCTAGAAAGTAGCTCAGCAATCCGTCTAAGCTGACAGCTACCAAGTTACACTAGATGGCCTACAAGCCGTAAAAAGCAAGATTTATCGACAACAGTTCAGTATAGAAGATGTTAATTACTGTTCTCATGGGAAGAAAAAACCCGAAATTCATTCGACATCCCTTGGAGGTCGATGGGAACCTCGTTTTAGACCACGAGAGGTGCTGAGCGAGGACTGATAGGCAAGGAGGCATGAGTCGCTTTTGCCAAGGTCCATCGGCGTTGCATTATAAACGTACAACTGCGTCTATCGTATAGTATCGTATAGTGCGTCTATAGTCTCAATTATCTTCCATTCGGAGGCGGCAAGCAGCGTACTTTAAATGTTCAAATATGAATTGTATTGCACATAAAAAACTAATTGCACATAAAATATTGCACATAATTGCACATAATAAACTACCTTGACTTGATGGGAGAAAATGCTTCATCCGATGAGTCGAATTAAACTTGGGTGATTGGACCCAAAACACTAAACAGCAATGTTCAATAGAGCTTTCTAAGTATTTCTAGAAAAGATGATTTTAGATATCGACTGTGCCCAACTGGAAACATGAGTGCACTTTCGATACGCGTGCCCTGTATCCGTTCCATTTTGATTTATGTAGCAGCGCAGCCCCATCTCTGTGCCGGCGGAAGTAGGGCCCGGTTCAGATGCAGCATGCAGCTCCTTTGCTGCCAAGTGACATTTAAATTGGAGAGGGCGGCTCGACAGTTGGGTTCACCCTTACACTAGGTACACACCTCGCAACGCTCCCAAAAAGAAAAATGACACGTTGAGTACGTGATACTTAGGGATAGGTACACTTGTCCACAGGATTTCCTAGTTACATGAACCTGGCCCTGCATCCCCTGGGCAAAACTAACATATGCTTGTTTCGTGACATGATTGCGCAACAAGGCACAGGGATGCAGGCACTGACAGACCCCCCACTCTCGCCGGCTTACCGTGAAAATGGCGCAGCTCCGAAGCTGCAGCACGGTTTGTCCTTTTGGATCTTGGGTTGGTGGCTCCGACCTCTGGTATTTTCTCGCCGACCGCCGTATATACGAGTATGAGGCCTCGGTAGTTGGTTGATCCGCGTGATCACTCAGCAAAGAACCACCTTCGCCTCAGCTAACAATAAAATTAGCGAAAATCCATCGTCACCCGAACAGCCCAACGTGATAAAGCCACTTATTGCCACCCTGCGGCGGATTTTGGCACACTCGTGGGCCATTGAAGACGGTGGTGCCCTCTGCAATATCTCGTCAGTCGTCTGTCGTCCTCCAACCGGGCAGTTGCCAGTTGCCACCACACCAGGTGCCGATTGCTATGCCTGCACCGGAGACGATTTTAAGTTTAACGTGAAAATGTTATTTCAGGACGGTCGAGATGACGACCTAACCAAAGCGTTCATGCTATGTATGTACGTGTAAGTAAATTTGCATTGCTGAGATAAACAGTAAACGCATAACACATTGAATGTGTTCGCATTGATCGAAACGCCTCCGAGCAAACTTATTGCCGAAAGACGGTTGTCCGTTGGGCGTTGCTAGCATCTTTTCGACCGTTGATGCTGCATTACCAAAGAGGCCATCTTAGATAACGCACCGTTCCTTCTATTCCACCCTCAGGTCTGAGGTCTGCCAATTTTTTCTCCTCCCCTTCACGCCTCTAACTCTCTGATCCGGTGCTGGGCAGTCACCTATATCCGGGGTGAGTCGTGCCTCCTCAGGAACAAGGTCAGGAGCGGTGGAGTGACCGTTAGCGGGGCTGGCTGCCCTGTCCACTGCAATGAACACTGGACAGTGGACAGGGCTGTCACCACAGCCCGTCACATAAGTTGCGCTCAGCAACGATGATACACCATGTTGGCCATACAGACCAATTTTTCACTCTAATTCCTGTCGTTCTTCCGGCTCTGCAATGATCTTATTAAACCGGAAGGACGCTGCCATGCAAAATAAAATAAAACGTATTAAAAACTCTAAGGTGATTTTTCGTCTCCTTTCATTGACAGCTCTATAGCCGGATTCAGCTAAGGTGAGACAACACCTTTTAAAATTAGGTCACTTAACTTTACCTGGTCATAATCTGACTAAGTGACTTAATACGCCAGCGGGTCGTACCAAGGCCGTTAGCATTATGGAAAGGCGCTAGCCTGGCGAGGGATCAATGCAATGATAATGATAATGCCGTTTGTTTCACACCATCATTGGTGCATACACAGCATACAAGACCAAGTGGCACACAGTCATTTCACACAATATTAGAATACGTGATAAGAATCAAGGAATGCAGAACATAAAACTGCTATAGTTGCCAACTTTTTAGGGTTATTTGTGCTTTTTATCAATCTGACCCTGAACGATGAAAACATCAAACTATATCCACCAAAGTCAAAATATTTCAACCTCAGCAGTCAGCCCACCCAGATACTAGTCAAGGCATCAATAGCTACAAAAGATACATCTGTGACAACCCATTTATTCAATCAGATTCAGGTCTTTCGCAACAGTATGCACCGATACAAACATCATGTACTTCTTGTTGTTCTGGTAGTTATCGATGGTTCGGTTGCGCATCTCCTTCCAGTCGTACAGTTCGCGGTAGAGAGGCCGGACGTACTTGAGCCTGCCGTGGGTGTTCACCATCTCCAGAACAGCCGGCACCTGCTCCTTCCACCGACCCCTGACGCATGCAGCCGCAGCCAGCGGTACCGGATCTCGGCGTTAGCGCGCGCGTTCATGTCGTAGAGCTGCTCCATCAGCTTCAGCTTGGTCAGCGTTAGTGGTGGCTGCTCGAGAAGCTGCGACAGGAACTCGATGATCTGGATGGTGGAGAGAGCGTTGATGTCAGCAGATGAGAAAGGCGCCGGGCTGGTTTCGTTCCAGTCGACCCATTGCTGACGCAGGCGACTGCAGGAGTCGATCAAAGATGTGTCGAACACCGGCGTGTAGGGCGGCATACCGGGAGAATCGAACCACGCCTTCCAGTCGACTTCAGCAAACAGAGAGTCCTTCGATCCCTTGGAAAAGTACTCAAAGAGATAGGAGAGGAAATCCCCGGAGTCGACCGCTAGGTACTTGTGCTTGTTCACGTAGGACTTCAGCAATGCTTCCATCTGGTCACTTCCGTCCATGAATTGTTCGAGATACCACAACAGAGCGTGGCCTTTCTCGTAAGCGATGAGTGAGAAGGCATCCTCGGGGTCAACGCCTTTCAACCTCGGCACGAGCCAGGTAAGGGGGCTAGTGATGCCGATCGTTTGCACGGTGTCATTGAGCTCCTTCCAGCCACTGGATGCCGTGAGATGCATCACAGGAGCTCCTTGTAACTTCCCGAGGATCTTTCTCTCGAGGAACATGGTGAAGCCCTCGTTGAGCCAGGAGTGCTCCCAGTTTCGGTTGGTGACCAGGTTACCGATCCAGCTGTGGATGATCTCGTGTGCGACGACGTCAGTCATGGATCTATCTCCGGCTAGAAGTGCCGGAGTGACGAACGTAAGGCACGGGTTCTCCATGCCCCCGTAGGGGAAGCTGGGCGGCAGTACCAGCAAGTCATACACACCCCAGAGGTACGGACCGAGCATGGTCTCGGTCAGCTGCAGCATCTGCTCCGTCTCGGCGAACTCGTGAGCGGCCCGATCGACGAGCTCCGGTTCAGCCCAGACGTTGGATCGCTCGCCCAGTGACCGTGAGGCCAGATCGCCGACCGCCAGCGCGATCAGGTAGGACGGAATCGGCACAGGCTGTCGAAACCGGAACGTCGTCCAGTTGCCGGTGGTTTCGTTACCTTCGCGAAGCGCGGACATGAGAGCTGTCATACCGACGGGCACAGTAATCTCGGCTGTGTAGCTCATTTTCACAGACGGCGTGTCCTGCAGGGGCACCATGGAGCGACAGTGGATTGCTTGGCACTGCGAGAACACGTACGGCATCCTTCTGCCGGCCGTCTGCTCCGGAGTCAGCCATGCCAGCGCGGTGCTGTTAGCGCTAGTGCTGTAGGCGATCTTCACCCGTACAGACTCTCCAGGCGGCAGCTGGACAAAGAGAGGCCGGCCAAGTGCGGGGTCCGGCTCGCCCCATCTCCAGTCGAGCGCTGTGCCTGAGGTCGGGTCGGTGATCTCTGTGATGTGGAGGTCTCGGGTGTCGAGCACCACCCGTTCGGCGGCAGGGTCACGGCGCTCCACCTGGAGGTTCACTGAGCCGGTCAACACCTGCTGCTCGAAGTTAACCCGAAGCTGGAGGTGTGCGGCGGTGACAACGGCCTTTGAAGGGACGGCGAACGAATAGGAGTCACCCTCGTCCCACGGCGCCAGATTCCATCTGTTCTTGGGACTTGACCTCGATCCTGTTGTCGTTACTGACCTGTTGAGATAAGGGATGGAAATTAAATGTAATGCTATTGGAGTGGGTGCGGACACCTTGCAATGATATGAACAGATCACACCACGTTGCTCAGTGCTCAGTCGAGTGGATTATAAATCATGCGCCATGCAATATAATAAGAGTCATTTTGCAATCGTACAAATATTTCTCAAATACGTTTCCACTTTCTATTCAGCTTATTTACATAAATTCACAAACCTTTTCCTGGGCGTGGCCGACCCGTCAACCCACTGTGAGTGTGACTGCTCGGCCGCCGACGGGTCTGGCAGGAAAGATATGCTGCACAGTACGCACAAACCTAGTTTGGAAATCAGACGCGGTGCTGCCATGACTATCCACTGCAGCGGCTGGGGCCCGACTGAGGCTCACGGGTGCAGATCGACTGAGGATAGCCAGCCGATCCAGCATCCCGCTACTTTGGCCCGATTTGGCAGGTGCTGGCGCTGCAGACTGCAGTGTCTATGTATGTCAGGGACGAGGGATAGCACAAAACCGTTAACCTTGTGACAAA